TTACTAAATTGAGCCCCCGTTCATGTAGTGACAATAAAGTTTCTTGATACACTGTCGATATTGGTTCACCTTGTAATGACTTCACTCTATCCTTGAGATTGTGCAAAGCTTCTTTCACAACATTTGTTATTTCACTACGATCACAACTATGAGGATTTTCTTTTTGAACGGCTTCGTTTAACACTCTCACACTACCAAAGCAAGCTGGTGCTTTTGTGCAACGCCACATTACGCTTCCATCCTTATTGTCGTATTTTTTATGAAATTGAAAACCGTTATATAACAACAATTTACGGCCTCGTTGCGATTCTACATAACGTAAGTCATTATCACGGTTCTGGTGCATTTTTAACACGCGTTGACACACAGTATGCCAGTTAGTGGTAAACTGATAAGAACAGATCCACAACATCGTTAAAACGATTAAAACCGGTTAAGGGTCAAGACAGTAGCTATTGCTATCTCTTTCACTTTTTAACGTAAAAGCCATTAAAGCTATTTAAACTAAACGCACAGACGGACGGCCGAACGGTGCAATAAAGTGTGCAAATGAAACAGCGCACATCATGTTCTCTCTCGCACTCGCACTGTTTATGAGTGACGTCACATAGACAAAGAAAATTCAAAAATGTACATTACCATTTTTTATTTTTTTAATCCTAGAAAGTCGTTCTATTGAAGGCATAGATACATATTAATTTTCTTCAAGAAAATAAGTATTCGTTTGCTATCCATACCTTTTTGGTATTATTTGCTTCGAGACGAGTACGGAATGCATTTGGGTTGAATTAAGAAAATATATTAAAATAATTTAATGGGTTCAGTAAGGAATATTAGTTTGGGATGAGTAAAGAAATGGGATGAGACGTCATAGGATGAATACGGAACAACCCAATCGAACGCGCGGCAGTCGGTTACCCAGCCACCGCACCAACTGTGCCATCAAAGTTGAAAAAGTATGGTTTGTTAAAAGTTTATGGGAAAATAGGGACTACATAGATGTTTACCTAAAAATATTGTTGAAATAAACTGTTTTGTACAGTGTTAATAACAATAAATGAAATTCAGAGTAACTTGGTTCATTTTAGTATCTTTTAAGTGTGGGAGAGTCATGCTACGGCACGAATAGGTTGACTCAACCGGAGTGATTCCACGGCCTCACAGAAAAACGACGTGAAACAACGTATGAGTTGTGTTTCGTCGTTTGAGTGAGTTTATCGGAGGCTCAATTTTTCCCCTCCCACTTTGACTTTGACTTTAACCCTCAAAGGCCAGTAGCACATTTGTAACGCGTTGGTTCGAGTGTCTATGGACGGCACCGATTGCTTACCATCAGGGGATCCGTCATGTCGTCTCGTTTACCGGCTTAAACCATCCAAAAAAATCTAGCTGCCCTGTACAATGTCATATTATAGCACAAAGGTAAGCAACCATAATGATGGTCGTATTCCGAACGTAGCTCTCAAACAAAAGGAAGCGCCGAAGGTCACGTACCTAGTGACAGTACGTGACCTCTTTTACTTTCTTTTGTTTTGAATCACTACCTACTTACCTAACCATAAAGGTCGGATAACCTACCAACCTATACAGATCCCGCAAAAACCAAAAATAATATTATTCCCATTCATATTTGCCAAGCATACCTACCTTACCTATAAATTCAAATATTCCTTTAGCGAAAAATACACGAATTCCTCCGAAATACTTGGACCTCAGACGATTCAATAGACCCGAAGGGACTACATGAAAGGGATTAAATCATATAATCACAAATTAATAGGTCACTCTCTATACCAAACGTCGGTAAAGCAGTTAAAAGTGGCTTTTGGAAATTGGGACGGCTTGGTATTAAAACCGTCGTGGCGGTAGAGGTCAAAATTTCATTTTCCCTAATGAATAATATCCTCAGAGTGCGGTCATATATCTCGGGATTCATGAAATAATATCTACTTTGTGCTTCGTTTGAACGTGCTAGTGGTTAGGCGAGTAGAGTAGTGAAGGGATTGGCGTGTTGAGATAAAGGAATTAATTTTCAGTGTAATTCCTTTGCAGTGATAGATAAGTTCTAAAGTTGAAACTTATTCTAGCTTCGAGACTTAGTTGAAACGTTGATATTATTACCATCTATTATTAGGGCCGCATTTTATAAGTCACCCTAAATAAAACCGACTTCACGCACCCTTCTTACAAAAAGAGACAAGAGCTTTAGATTTTTTTTAACAAAACTTTAAAGGAGGGTTGCACACGCATTTTACACCAATCGTTCTCACCAAATTAAATAGGTACACAGTCACAACAGCAGAAACGTAACATGGTGTTACTTGCAATTCTTACAAACCTCTATAAAACACCCAATTAATACAAAAGACAGATTTTTGTTAGTTTTTATAATAATCTATCGTCAGACTATAGGCACTAAAATCACGGATTACTCACGTGAATATACTGAGAAAAGCTCTACTAGTTTCGAACCACAGACGGGTTCTTCCTCACTAGCAGCGTGCGCGGTCGCGGCGATGTCGTGCAGCTCACTGAAACACTAGTCTGTGGTTCGAAACTAGTCTCAGTATATTCACGCGGGTAACCTGCGATTTTAAAAAATTTGGTTACAGTTATTACATTATGTGATCTTCAGTACCTACATATGAATGAATCAGTTATCCCACTTCGAAAGGGAAACTTGTATTCCAAGCGAATATCAGGTGCATTCAACACCAGTATAAGTAGTAACTTGCCCGCCATATTTCTTATTGGGCGATCACTAGCTTCGTTCAAACGGGTCTAAAGTGAGACTAATGTCTCGTATCTTAATAGGAATCTTGGTCTCATAATGTCCAAGTCATCAGCGTTTTCCGAAAATACCCTTCTTAAAGACCACCGCCCCAGTTTTGCTGATTGCTTCATTTTTTTAATAACCTCACTTCGTTTCAATTTGAATTGACTCCCCGTAATTGGGTGCAGAATTGAAAATGTAATGTTTATCTTAGTTCAAGTCGTGGCATGGTTCAAAAGAATGCTTTTTTGGTAATATAACGCCCTGTACCTAGGTACCTACGTAATGGCTGCTTTTACAGACCACCCATAAACCTAGACTTAGCGTGAAAAAGTACTATAAGTAACCTCTTCCTTTGCCTTTAGGTGTCACTTATAGGTTAGTCAAAATCAAAATTTCGTTAAGTGCTATCTTAGTTTAGGGGTTCCTAGTCTAGTAATTGTTCGCTACTGTAGGGACACTCACGTACACACCTATGTAAATGCATGTTCATCACTGTGTCCTTAGGGCGTCGTATCATATTGCTATTCCCTCCTAAAAAGCCAGTCTTCGCATAACGATGTGCTGGGCCGGAACTTTTGTTAAACTTGAACTTTTGTAAATAATTTCGTGTGTCTTGTTGTGAACAATATAATTTACCAGTGGCGTTCTGAACTTTTATTTATCTCTGACAGTCATATAGACACAACCCAAAAGCTACTTATAAAAAAAAATCGCACGTTTTATATGAAGGTACTTCAATACATAGTATAAAACAAAGTCGCTTTCGCTGTATGTCCGTATGTATGCTTAGATCTTTAAAACTACGCAACGGATTTTGATGCGGTTTTTTTAATAGATAGAGTGATTCATAAGGAAGGTTTGTATGTATAATACATGCATATTGCACCCGTGCGAAGCCGGGGCGGGTCGCTAGTACAAGATAAAACAAACCACGAGAACTTTTGTTGTTGTAGGCAAACTGGACTTCTTTGCTACCATAGTATAAGAAATTATTGTATTATGAAATAAAACGATTTACATTACAAACGATAAGAAACTTTGGGAACAACTTAGGTACATACGTCCTTTTAAAAAAAATTCTGCTAAGTTGGTGAGCACTGTGTCGTGGAACTCACAGTTCGTGAATGTGAAACGAACGTGGGGATCGTGAGTCGTGGATTAATTTCACATAGGTTGTTACCACAAAAATTAAAGAATTTTCGTAACAGAATGGAAAGTAATTTGTTCTGCATTGCGACGATCATGGCGGAAAATAAAATAAAAAATAGAAAGATAATCCAAACAGCGGCACTTGAATAGCAGCCAGCCGGTAGTCCATCCATTGCGCTAAACTTTCAAAAATATTGTGTACTTAAACTGAATTCTATACTTCGGAGAACCTAACGGGTTACCGGGGCTCCGGCTCGAAGCACAGGAGTAGGAACGGGATGGTTTTTAGTCTGTAAGAGTCTGACACTCCCTCCCACCTCACCCAGGCGGGAGAAGTCATTCGATGACATCCCCCCTAAAAAATAAAATACAGAAATACTCTTTGTCTAAATTACAATGACGATTTTTATGGTAGGAAAATGATTGAAATTTGATAATACGCCCTCTATGTCACAAAAATATGACTAGTTTTCGTATAAGAACTTTTAGTAAGCACGTAAAGTTATCTTTTGTGTTTCTAGATGGCGTTAGAAGTACTCTTAAATCGCACAACTATTTTGATTATTTCTTTTATGTTGGTGTGATTATGAATACATGTATTAGTTATAAAATGCATTAATTTATGCATTTATTTAATATAATAATTATTCACAGCAAAGGTGTTGTGATTTGATTGTCTGTGGAAGTCGGTAAAGTAGTACACATGGCGATTTCATCGCTGCGAAAGAGCCATCTACTGTATTTGCTAAGAACTACGCACACTGAAAATCCAGAGAACATGTAATGAAAATATTTATGAAACATTAAACCCAAACAACAAAATTTCAAGTAGGTAGATCATCCTTTAATATTAATTATTTGTGAAACATTTATTCAAATATACGAAAATCATTAATTGATAATAACATTTCATACAGTTCCAAACAGTTTTTTGGAATTATTCTTACAGTAGTAACGACATCTTGTGAGTCAAGTAATGAGTTTGGGATGTCATCTATCGGAAAATGTTGTCAACAATGAATTTAGTTCACATTCCTTCCGGGGCGCTCACAACCCAAACAATGAATACCAACATGGTGGCAATGTGCTACACAGTTTGAAAATGCAGGTCGTGTCATGCTTTGAAAAAAATCATTTTATACACGATTTTGGTGGAAAATGTCGGACCCTAAACGTGCTACTCTTATAACAGTGGGTGCTCCTAAAAGTGCAAAGAATAATGTGAACAAAACAGTGAGATTAACTATAAATTTGGATGAAAGCAACGAAAGTAAATATCCGGAGCTGAATTACAAGGAACTAGTCATTGCAGAAGAGGTAAGTTATAACAGAAAATCATAGCAATTTACGCAACCATACTGGTTTTCCAGCTCTTTGTAGTGCAGGGAATCTGCTAAAAAAAATTCAAGGCTTTAAGAATGTCAGGACATCGGCTACAGCCGGTTTCGTGAGGTCTAGATGAAATTGTTTTAGGATATTTTTTGCTTACGTTACACGGTTTTGTATTAGGTTTGTGACATGATTTTGCGTCCACGGGCTGCTCGAGAAGCTCAGATAGCGGTCGCCATGTTTGCAACAATCATAGAAGTTCGTTGTCGGCTTAGAACATCATTTTACGAGAGCAATGTTTTGATCTCTAACACGTTATGATTAAAGTTGTTTTAGCTCCAATATGAATAATTTTTACATTGTTATTCCACATAAATAACTTGTATAATGATCAGACACGATAATGCATTGCGTACGATATCAATAAAACATGCGAAAGTCTTGATTTCAATGACCTAGGATAACCTACCAATTGTATACGATATCCGGTAAAAGTAAGGTACAATTTTAGGTTACATTTTAAAATTTAATTAAATATCTTTTAAAATGAAAGTATGAACATATGTTTGCAATATGATTGTACATAAGTAGTGTATATATGTATGTTTATCATATAATATGAGATAGAGAATGCGTGTAGGGAACAGAAATACTACATTGCGTATCGTTGTGCTGTTCTAACGCATTATTGGGATAATGGGATTAATTTTGACCGATAGAAAGGGTTATTTATTATGTATTGAATGCGTATTTAGAATGTTTGGTTATGTATTTGTTTTCAAACTTGATTTGCAATGTTGCCAAGTTGGTTTCGCTTGCAAAATGCAAGTTGGCAGATTGTGGCTCGACCTTTGCTTCTTAGTGAGCTTTTTTTTAGTTTTCTTGTGCTTGTGGCCGTATATTAGATCGATAACAGTAGATAGTAGGTATTTAGCGAGCGTGCATAGGTTATGTACTAGGTTTATGTACGTTAGCGCGCGCGCGTGTGTGTGGATTTACTTGATAGGTAATCTTTGTGTAGTTTTATTTATTTTTTAATGTATTTTTGTTTGTTTTGATGTTATACGGCACGTATTTATTTATAGATGAATCGTAGTTGCAGATTTTGTTCCGCTCTGCGGTATTGTTATTTTTAGTTGGCGGTGAGATGTATCATTTTATCAAACAGGTTTTGGTTAACTTTGTGGAAGTTGGATATTTTTTTATGGGCGGCGCGCGTGCATTTATTGTCGTGCGGGCTCTGATATTTATAGCGCGCTTTTGTCGTCATTATGTCAATGCAGTAACGTCTATTATTGTATAATTTTTGTTAGTGACATTAAAATATTACGGTTTGCAATTTGTAAATAAACTGTTTACGTTTCCTTTGTCTTAATGCAAGTAATTTGTTGCATAAATTGATAAGCGGTACTATTTAGTGAGATAATGATTATTTTGGGGATTTACATGTTTTATTTTTAAGATTAGTAGGTAGGTATAGGCATTTTTGTAGGTATGTATGGGCATACACTTGCACTTCATGTTATAACTGGTCTCGGAGTCTCAGATAAATCGTGATGACGTAATATCGGTGTTTCATGTTACTGTGATTATATTTATCAATTTATCATCCTTAACTATTCAGGTAGGTATATGACTAATACGATTAAATTAATCTGTTTTGTAACGTATTTATTTCAAACATTTTATTATTGATTTTACATTTTAAGTTTTGGTCGTTTTTATCAATATTTGGCGCGAAGTGCGGCGCGTCGTTATCACACCCATTCATTAGAATTATAACTGAAATTCGAATTGAGAATACTAAATGACAGTTATGAACTGAAATTAACATAAAAAAACGAAATGTGAAACACGTATGAAGCAACTATGGTCCTTAAATCTTTTGTCGTAAAGTTTAAATTACAGTAACAAAATAAAAGTGGTAAAAATTATCAGTCAGGTTTTTCTTTTTTGTTGTGTATGTAAAAAAAGGTTCCATTTATGCAGTTCTAAATTGCACATCAAACACTTTCTCTTGAAGTCATGTCATAATTGTATTACTTAAACTGTCAAACACCAAGCGGTCACCGGTGACCGCAACCTATTGTTCTATACCTAATTGAGTCTACAAAACCGGTACTCGACGAGTTAATTAGATTTATATATTTACATTTAAAGAAAATAAAGTCTAAGTCTAAAGCCTATTTATTGTGTTCACTAATATAATAATCTAGGTACCTATTTATCCTATAACAAATATCAGCCTTAGTGGATGAAATGAAATGTCAAGATAACAATAATCTTTAAGTTCCAACTCTTGCAAATAAACCAAGACATAATCTTATGCTAATTTCAACCAATCAGAGCACACCTTATGACTGCCAGTCTAACAAACATTCTTATTGGCTTGACGTCATGTGACTGTGTGTGAATTTTTTAAGTAGCAATTTTACATTATTTTTTATGTAATGATAGCTGAAAATGATGTTAAAATTATAGGAATAAATCTAGATAAGCGATTTTCTGTCTGAAAAATATTTGTTACCTATATCATCAAGTATGCAGGAATGCAAATCGATGCTAAACACAATGTGTTTTCAATTGTCTCATATACTGACATTCAAGCGCTTAATGCACATAATATCTCAAAAAATTAAATATTCATAATGAAATATGATGAAACTGCAACCCAAAACCCAAGTTTGCCAACGGAACTTTGAAAAGAATTGTTACAGCAGTTATAAGCCTGGATGTAACTCTGGCCAGATGGTATTCGATCACCTACAAATCTACATAGTTAGTAGGATAATGTAGGTGTCTACTGTACCTTTCTTCAAATCAGATACTTAAATTGTTCACATATACATAAGATAGAGTCAGGCGTTACTTATCAGAAATCCATGCTACACTAACTACTGGGAAAATATTTCGTTTTTATTCTACTGACGGAATGAATTTGCAGTATGCAGCACTACCCTACCACCACAGATGCACCACTCAGAGTGGTTTTGTTGTGTGTGGGTTTTGTGTTGCATCTCTGCTCTGCTGAGTGGGAGAATCAACGGGTGAGAAGGTGTATAAAATCTAAATATATTCCCAGTGGTTACTTCAATTAGAACCATCAACTAGGGATTATGACGCATACATTTTGGGCAGCCACAAAATACCTGAATATGATGATTAATGAATAAAATTACTGGAATCAACTATTATGATAAATGGAAATTCCATTATTAAAAACTGCATAATACAAAATCTTGTCAATTATTTCCTTATAAACCATAGTTTTCATCAATGTTCCATCAATATTTAAATTTAAAAAATTGAATATGCAAACTATACATTACATTACATACCTGTACATTTGTACAATAACCAACCAACCTGTACATTACAGTATATCTCGTAGACAGGCCGAGTATAAACTGTTATTTTATGTAATATATCTGATCTAACGTCTATGTAAATGAGTAACACCTACATACATAATTTTCACTGTATGCTATGTAGTTTATATTATACAGACATGTACTTAGTAATTGTTTGTATATTCTTGACCTACTAATTGTATGTAGAATGAATCCTAGATATCTATTCTATGTTAGTCATGTTATATATGAAAAAAGGATTTTATAGATATATTTTTTACTGTCTATGTTTATACATTGCTCACAAGTTGGAGACTTGTAGATTATAATACTAATGAATAGGATTTTGTTACATAATATATATTAAATACCTCGTGCAACAATCAATCGCTAAATAAACTTATGAGGATAAAATTGTACGTATTTATCAGCTTATTTTGTATTAACCTATTTCATAGCTAGATAGTTTTTATTGCACCAGTCCAATTCCATAAATTATAGCCAGGTAGATACAATCTTTATTGTACACCATTAGTAATTTGATTATCAATTTAATATTGAAAAAATATGTAAGATTAGGCACCTATATTTTTTTTTATTTAAATAATTCTATGGTTTAGTTTATGCTAATAAAAAACGTGGCGGTAGACTTGACCGACCTTCAACTCTTAACGTAACAATTTCTGTTGTTCGTACATTACGGCCCAAGAGAATGCTACGTTCGAGGTCGCAGGTTCATAATGCATTAATCATTTCAGTGAAATGTTCTACATAAGTACTCGACAGCACGTCAAGCTATCCTAGTATAGGTGTAATTTCAATTGATTTTCAACCCTATTGTTTTATAATTAAGTTGGAAATATATTAAGTTAAAATCCTTGATGTTGTCAGGTACGATGTTAATATTTTTCCAATTTTTAATTTCAGAGAAAGAAGAAAGTGGATAGAGAAAATGGCAAGACCACAGCTGGGCTGGATCCGTTCTCAGAGAACAATGATGATGTGGTCCGCGTCGCTAGGCAGTTTGAGCAGAAATATGTGAGTAAAAATTATTAACAAAATAGTACTACAGTCATGTCGCCCTTTTTGATTTCAGCGCCATCTATCAGATTCAACTATGAAACTAAGTGTTACAGAATTTGTCTTTTTAAATTCCGTCTAGCCGTTTATGAGTAAACTATTTTATTTTAGTGAGTCTAATGAGTTTATGAGCTCTAATGATAAATGGAAAAATGCCTCCAACCGGCGGGTTTGAGAATTTTAGGAGCAATTGTGTGATGGTGATGAAGTAGTTATTTATTGAAGTACTAGCTGTCCCGGCAAATTTCGTACCACCAAATGTTTTTGTAACCTTAATAATTAAATTAAATTAAATTTAATTATAATTAAACCTTCCATGGACTTCCACGAACATTTCAAGACCAAAATCAGCTAACTCGGTTTACCAGTTCTCAAATTATAGCGCGACTAATGAACGGTAATTAATTTTTATTTATTTAGACAATATTGATCAATGATGTTTGTTATATTACAGGGCGGTAAAAGTACATATGGCCGTAAGGGCAGGTCAAAGCATGATGATTTCGCGGACATCGGAGCTGGCTACGATGAAAACGATTCCTTTATCGACAATACGCATGGGGTAAGTTATAGATAGAATTTTATTTATTTCATTTTGTTATTATTTTGTTTAAAATAAGAGAAATGTATCTAAGTTTGGCCATCTGGCCTGATAGTAAGCGATGATGCGACCTGCGATGGAGCACGCCTGTCCATAATAAACAACCTATTCATTTAGGCCTTGAAGACTCCTAAACCCTCCGAAACAGACTTTGGCAAAGAATGTTTCCTATTAGATAGGTACTTAAATTTCTTTGTTGACCTTTCAAAAGTACCAAATTATGGTTTAATTGAAATAAATGCTTTTGAGTTTGAGTTTGAGTTTAAGCCTTTGACTGCCAATAGAAAACTGTTGAAGGCAAGGCCTCTGATAATGTCGATCACCGGTGACCCTCATGGCGTTTATCGTGTTACAAGAATACTAATACCTATGCCTATTGACTTAAAGTACATTTCTGTCATCAAATAAAATCTTTTTTCTATACAGTTTGTAATTAGGCAGTAGTATGTAAGTTTCTAGGAATTTGCTACGTCACATTAGTGATGCGTATAAAATAATAAATTTCAATTGTACCGTTACCCGTAATTCTCCACGTGGTAGGTAGCTACGTCTATAAAATAAATTTTACCGTACCGCCACAACAATTATGGGCAAGTCAAACACTAACTGGGTCACTATTTTAAAATAGGGACTGTCGTACCGTACCTACCGAATGTTTTCAGAATGCCCGTTTTAGATTTAGTGTTTGGTCAGTTTGACACAGTTCGAAAATAGGAATCGAAATGGTCTTTAGAGGTCTAGACAGGACCTAGGTACCTAGACTAGAAATGTAGAATTGTAGATGTTATGTCATAAATATGTCATTTTTAAATCCTAAAAAGGAGAGGACATGCTGAATGTAACACTCACTTTTCAACAGGTATGTTATGTAATACTAGTTGTTGTCTTCGACTTTGTCCGCGTACAGAATGAGTTTTATGACGTAACTTCTTTTTATATAAATTTTTCCATTTTCCAAAATAAAAGTAGCCTATGTTACTCCTTAGTACATCAGCTCAGAGATTCAGCCTAGCCATTTCAGAGATTAGTCAGTTGAAGCAGACAAAACAATTTTTTTTAATGTTCTGGATATGTATCGTATATTATATTCATATGCATGTAGGAAATAGCGGTTATTTCAATTTTAAAAACAGACACTCCAATTTTATTTATGTGTATAGATGTAATATGTATGTGTGTGAGTTTATTACACTTCACTTATGAATTCCATATATATAAATCCAATAGCTATTCATGCGCGGTTTTATCCGCTTAGCTCATCGTCTTTTGGTCATAGGGAGATGTTTTATAGCCTATAGCCTCCCTCGATAAATGGACTAAACAATTCAAAAATAATTTTTCAAATCGGACTAGTACTTCCTGAGATAAGCGCGTTCAAACAAAGTCTAATATAATAAGATGAGTGAGCATATAAATAAATATTTTTATGGGTACCATATTCTTATACAGTGTGAATTCATGACTATTCAGGTCACTCGTCTGAACCTTTGGGCCATTATTGGGAACTTTTGCAAACCGATAACACAATTATTTTGCTCACTAGTGAAAATGGGTATCAAACTTAGAGACCCGTTACTCAGTAGTTACTCTTCCAACCACATGATCAATAAGGCATAATTTATATTATTTATTAGCGTGTGCCCGCGACTTCGTACGCGCAATCCCGTTTTCTCCCGTTCCTGTAGGATTTTCAGAATTTTTTCTGTCCTAAGAACGTTCTTCTAATAATAACAAATACAACAAAAAAAAAAAGAAAGTCCAACCATACGCGTGATACCGTGACCACAGGGAAAAGAGATTCATTTTTATGGTATATATAGTTGTATTATTAATTACAGAATTAATAATACAAAATACAAATGAAACAAAATACAATTTATATTATTATAAATAAATTACGTAATACCAATGCTAGTAAATAGTACTTACTTAAAGGTTTTAATAGTGTCACCATATATTTATTTCGAACTTAATGAGATTAATCGGGCTTCTGGCTTCCTTTATGTTATCTGTGCCTCAAAGTAAACCATTGGCAATGGAATGTCTACATTTTACACGTAGTTTTTATCCTTTAAGTAGGAATTTATATCCTGTATTATACTATTTACAGGAATAACTAGTATAATACCTAGGTCAGTCAAAAATCTCATCTCATACAGAGAAGGATTGGTATTGATCACCAATCTTGTTGAAGACCGATTTACTATTACAGACGGTATTATATAAATTCATGTTTCTTCATGATGATTTTCTTCACTTTATACCAGTGATGTCTGAAATGTCTGTCTGTCTAATGAAACTTTATAATCTGTGAGCCCTCATCTAGCTCATGCTTGAAAAAACATAAAGAAACAAAAGTATACCTAAAAATACCTGTACCTAACATAAAATATTAATTTCAGTACGATGAGATGATCCCGCCGGAGTGCGACACTCTACACGGCGGGTTCTACATCAACTGTGGCTCGCTGGAGTTCAAGAGTGTGGCCGACCAAGCTGCGATATCGGATGCTGAGCCTGGAAGCAGTCGAAGGAATAAGGTTAGTAGTACTTATAAATCTAATGTGGGCTACCATATCTTTAGTCACCAAGTGGCGCAAATGTAGGAAGAGATTTTAATCCAATCGCAGCAGTTCTCAAAAATTGGACGTCCAATAAGGTGACACTAGCTAATTCCCTATTGGACGAAGAACGAGAGGTTTACACTAGCACCGTCTGGTGAGTAAAAATACCGTAGGCCCCATTAGAAATGTACCTATTTACGGCCTCTCACAAACCCGACGTAATACGTTTTTCAATACTCTCCTCATCCCATATCCTCAAGCAATAAAAGGTCAGCAAGGCACTTTAAAGATCTCTGGTGTTGCGGATGGCCATATGCGGCCGACCGCTTACAAACCGATTTCCATCTAATCGTTTGACGTAGAAAATGCCATCTTTAGTTTTAATTTTTACATCAATATAATATCACGTCTTTTATCCCCGAAGGGGTTGGCAGAGGTGCACACAGAAGTAACACCCACTTTTCACTATTTATGTTATGAGTCCCATGTGCACATTTCCAGACTCCGTGCTACTACTGAGAATATTTAAAAGCCCAGTAATACTTTGCCTACGAAATCGAACCCGAGACCCCTTGCCCGGCAGTCGCACTTACGACCACTCGGCCAAAGAGGCAGTCGCTATTAAATCGCTAAAAATAAAGATTAAATTTAAAATAAAAAAATCGCTATTAAAAATGCTAATATCTCCACAGAGGCGTATATCATCAAGCAGCAGTGAGGACGATTCGTCAGACAGAAGTTCTTCAGAGTCCAGTCATGATGAGAAGGATCCCAAGGCGATAGCTAACGGCGATGTAGACTCGCATAAGACTGAACATCGGAAGAAGGTAATCAAACACTAATGTTATAAACTACAAATAATAGAATTAAGATTGGTATGCTGAACAAAATGGATTTAAGTTAAATTTTAACAAAAATTTACTTATTGTATCATTGATATGAGAAAACTTATTAAAGCGAAGATCTTATAGAACATGGAGCTTCATAGAAATGTGCAATTGGTTTACACATTGTCCCTATTTTCTTCTGTATAATAGGTGAATTTACGAACATAAAATACTTATGCACATGATACCTGGGTATCATCCTTACTAATATTATATATCGGAAAGTGAGTTTGTTTGTTTGTTCCGCTTTCACGCTGTAACTACTAAACCGATTGCTTTGAATTTTTGCAGAAATAAAGATAGAAGTCCAGATTAAATAATAGGGTACTTTTTATTCTGGAAAAATTGATATTACCGAGGGAAAACAAAAGTATTGGTATAGATGGCGCTGTCTGTATTGGTATATGTCACATAGGCTACTTTTTATCCATTTGTGACGCGAGCGAAGCCGCGGGTAAAAGCTAGTGATCTATAAATGAATGTTCTGAGTCTGGACCCATCACTCAAAGTGTTGGTCTTTCTAATTGTAAAAAATGTATCAAATGAAACAAGTGAATTTATTTCTGCAAATAGGCTACAAGGTAGCACTTTTTTTACACGTCAATTTTTTAAGCCAACGATGAAATCGAGATCGAAATTTTCTAACTCTGATAAGAAATGCCGTAACAAACTCAGAGGTCCGTCTCTTTTAAAGTCCAGACAATATGTATATATCTTTAGTATGTTAATCTACTAGCTAGGTTGTTACCGGCCGTCAAGACTCCCACCTCCTTAGTAAATTCATAACTAATACTCTAACAATGCCATACATAATTGATAATTCACATACCATTCAAGGTTGAACAAAGGGTAACCACATAGCAAATACATTTTTTAACTAAATTATATTACGTTATAGATAACAATGTTTGTTCCGCGAAGATAAGATTATTAATATGTTGCATTTCGTTGACAGAAAAACAAAAAGATTGATAAGAAGACGGCTAAGAAAGTGCGGCGCACTGACTCATCGGCCGCTACGTCTGGCAAGCAGACTTCTGATGGTATGTGTCCTACACAACAGATATAACTGTGGGAGAGCCATGCTTCGGCACGAATGGGCCGGCTCGACCGGAGTGATACCACGGCCTCACAGAAAACCGACGTGAAGCAACGCTTGCGTTGTGTTTCGTCGTGTGAGTGAGGTTACCGGAAGCCTAATTACCCTCCCCTTCCCCAATCTCTCCAATCCCTGAATCCCCAACGATCCTCAAACTCAAACTCAAACTCAAAAGCATTTATTTCAATTAAACCATAATTTGGTACTTTGAAACGTCAACAAATATGAAATATATAATAGTCTGTCAGTCAGTCCGTCAGTGAAGCTAGGCGCTAATTCCAAAATGTCGATTCGAGTGGAGAAGAACGAGCAAGAAACTCCATTCGTTACTCTTTTAAAAAAAGTCTGTTTTACATTGCTCTGATACATATTCCAATATTGTACATACATGTGAGAATAATGTAAAGACATACCTGACGCAACATACAAATAACAGAACATACTAAAATAGAAAAAAAAACAAAACCAAGAGAAAACAAATATTATAAGTCTGACATCTCAAACTCCTAATCCCCAAAAAGCCGGTAACGCACTTGTAACGCCTCTAGTGTTCCAGGTGTCCATGGACGACGCCGATTGCTTACGCCATAAAAAGAAATATATATACCTCTAATGTAACTACACCACTGGATTTAAATCGACGCTAAAGTTTTTACTTTAATTTAATAGGGCCTACCATATTCTACCTCACTAGATGACACTAGTTTGAATCTTTCATTATTTATCCAATAGGGAATGAACTATGTAGTGTCTCATCATTGGACATTTAATATTTGACAGCTGCTGTGATTGAACAAAACGATAGCCTCCAATAGAATGGCATTCCTAATTATCCTCCATGAGCACAACTAGATGATCATAAATCATCCAAGTTTATTCTTTAAATGCCATTTGGTTCACAGCACAGGTATAGGATATCACTTAGTCAGATTATGAAACTAAACTCCTATTTGTTGGATAGGATTTAAGATAGTCTTATTTATTAAAGACTAGCTGAACCGGCAAACTTGGTACTTCAATATTATTTTTCTCACCTTTTAATCCTTCCCTAGACTTCCACAAACATTTCAAGACCAAAATTAGCCAAATCGGTTCAACTGAAAAATTGAGAAGAAAAAGTTTAAATTTAACAATTGTGATTGAAATTGATGTCTTTTTTGATAAGCGAACTTTTAGTTTTTTTTTGTTGTAATATCCTGTTCTTTTATAATGCATGTCGTGGCAGTCTTTAATTAAGGCTACACTTATAGAGTTAAAATATTATGTTAAAAACCTATCATGTATTTTGGTGTATGCTTTGTTGGTTGTCCTTAAATAAATAAATAAACTGTTCTCGAGTTTTAACGAGACCAACGAACGGAGATTAATGTATATATATATATATTAATTAATAATTAATTAATGCCTATAAAACATTTACATAAATAAATAATACTTCATATAGAATACTAGCGACCCGCCCCGGCTTCGCACGGGTGCAATATGCATGTATTATACATATAAAACTTCCTTAAGAATCACTCTGTCTATTAAAAAAACCGCATCAAAATCCATTGCGTAGTTTTAAAGATCTAACCATACAAAGGGACAGACAGACGGCGGATAGCGATTTTTTTTTTCACTTTATAGTGATAGTGATAATATGTTGACCTCAGTAAAAATATAGAAATTACATTAAAATGATGGTATTTTATGATCTAATTAATTTACAGATAATGGTCACGGCGACGGTGAGAGCGCAGACTCCCACACGTCGCAGTCAGACTCACTCACGTCCAAACCTACTCCCAGCTCCGAGAATGCTGCCACTTCAGATAGCTCAAGGTATTTAAAAGTGTAATCCGTTATTGTTAGTACTGTGTAGAGTTGAATGTCAGTAAAGAAGAAGACAAGTATGATTAAATTTATATTCATATCAAAGAGATTTGTTATCTCCATCGTCATTATTATGCCTTCGTATGTAGTATGCAAAATTATGCCTTCGTAAGACACACAGATGAAATATCTAGTTCTGGAACATAATCAGTTCTCCTTCCTCGAACTGATAGGCTCCTTGGCCATATTTTAAATGTTTCAGTCATTTATTGGTATTATAAATTCCCATGTAATCGGGGTATGGCCTTCTATGGAGAACGGTACTCACGGGGGTTCAAATTGGGCTGAATTCATGATGACAGAACCCCCGTGAGTACCGTTCTACCATGCTTTCGTCCCATTTAACATTATACACAACCGAAATCAATTATAAAGAAAAATAATTAGAAACGAATGTCCCCCGTATCCACAGAGACACAGAGACCAAACTGGAGGTGAAGTGGCCGCCGGCGGTCGTGGCCGCGCTGGACGCGCTCGACGCCTTCGTGGCGCGACACCTCGCGCTCTACCCTACCACGCCGCGGAAACAACTCCTCGCGCACACCGACGAGTATATTGTTAGGTAATATGGAATTACAACCTTGTATTATGTTAATTCTTTATAAATTAAAGTTGCTGGGGTGGAGTATTAAAACGGTTTGTTGCGCTTGATATAAAATACAGTGGCATTAAGTGCCGTAATGTGCACCTCTGCCTACCCGTTCGGGGATAAAAAGGCGTGACGTTATGTTATGTTGTATAAAAATAGTTTATTTCCCAAAACTATGCTCAAATAATGGCTAGTGAATTCTCACTAGCCATAAATGCACCCGGTTCGCTGTTCGAGTATGCACTGCGTTAGCGACGCACTCAGAGTGCAGTCGCGGTATATTGCTAAGTTAGCAACCATGGTCGATTGCAAAATATTGCATCGAACAATTGCCCAATACAAAAACCTTTAAGAAAAATTGTAATGTAAAAACAGGAGCCAACCAGTAGTGGGAGCATGGTCCAAGCAACCGGTGGTTAGGGCTCCAGGGACAGAAGTCTCCTCACGATGCGCGCTTCATTGAACCTCTATTATTTTTACTTTTTCCTCAGCAGCAATTACAGCATACAACCATATTAATATCCTTCCATAATTCCTCCAGACTGGAGCAAGTCCTCCGCGGCTCGGGCTGCGAGGCGCGCGTGGTCCGCGCGGGCTGGGCGCGCGCCGCGCGGACCCTCGCCACGACGCGCGCCAAGCTACTGCAGCGGGTCAAGGCTCGGGCGGAACAGGCTACACAGAGTCAGTAATTCACTATACTACATCACTATGTTAATGTTTTGCTTCTACTCGATTTCAGCCCCTGTCTACTTCTACGTTTTATTACCTCGAATTGAACTTGAAATACAACCTTTACACGAAATTCGATCTCGCGAGTTTGCGACCATTCGATTAAAGAGAATATACTTTATTTTATTATTATAACATACAGCTATAGAGTTTGTTTGTTTGAACGCGCAAATCTCTGAAACTACTGGTCCGATTTTGTTTATGGCGTAAGCCGGTAAAAAACGAGCAGGCGGATCGGATGATGGTAAGCAATCGGCGTCGCCCATGGACACCTAGACCACATGGAAAAACGGGGGGGGGGGGGGGTAATTGGGCATCCGGTAACCTCACTCACACGAAGCGTTGTTTCACGTCGGTTTTCTGTGAGGCCATGGTATCACTCCGGTCGGTAGTTCTATTTTGTTTTGGATAGCCCATTTATTGAGGAAACTTATAGGCTAGGCATGCACAGCGAGTGAAATGGCAAAAGTAGCCAGTTAATTGTTAACTGGCTACTTTTGCCATTTCTTTTACTTCTGCAATAATGAAAGTTACCAATAATAAAATTATAATAATTTCTTACTTTCAGTTATTCTCGGAATTTCTTCTAAAATGCACACCCATAGTGAAATATCAACATTTAAATTCACAGACTCAACAATTGCTCAAGCAACCGCATCAACGAACACTGCCAACTCGACCGCCCTGCCTTCATCCACAGTAACAAACCACAATAGCAAGAGGAAAGCTGATGATGATCTCGTTGACTTCGATCCAGACAACCTGACTGATGAGGAACGAGAGGCTTTACTTGTTGAGACTTTGTACAGGTTAGATTATTATTTTTATTTTAACTGATCCGAGGACAAAATAAAGAAAAAGAACTACCTGAAATGATCACCATTTGTGGTAAAAATGTAAACAGTAACGGCACATTAGAATGTTACTGTGCTCAATCTGATATGAGGATGGATTGTAGCACTGTTGTTAAATCATTTTTTTTTTATTAACAATTTCTTACATGGTCAATGCCATCAATGAATTAGTATTGCCTTTGGTGCTACAAGTATATTGAGGCTGTGGCGACTATTTACTATCTAGGGATTTAAGTTAGTTTTGTTGGATGAATTCATGTTAAACTCACTGTAGTTTTCTGAGAGTTGATATAATTGGTTTCAGATTGAAAGTGCTCATTGATGAGAAGAAGCCAGCGATGATAGCTAATTACAATGCAGAATGTGAGAGAGTACAAGAAGAAAGGTAAGGAAATATGTATTTATTTTACTTTTTATAACTTTTTGTAATAATTTTTTATGAATTTTTGAATGATGATGAATTTGTGTCAGGAATGTAAAGAAAAAATATTGATTTGTAGGAAAAAGATCCAGATAGCGTCAGCGGCGGAGGGCGTGCCGGTGGTGGAGAAGCGTCTCCCGAAGCGTCGGTTCCCGTGGTGCGGCCGCAGCCGCGCGCTGGTGTCGCGCGCCGCCCGCCTGGCCGCCGCCCGCGCGCCGCGCCTGCTGCTGCAGCGCGTGCTGCCGCTGTTCCCGCAGGGGTTCGTGCGGATGCCCACGCTGCTGCGGCAGGCCGAGTCAGTACTCACGTCGCACTCTCTACGTCAACACTATACATACAACTTGTACAATGTTTGCTCTCATTCCAGTATCAGCAAACAACTAAAAGCCACAGACACCAAGCGGCCGCGGCTAGGCTCCACCTCCCAGCCGGCCGCCCCCAGCCAACGTACAGAGCCCCCAGCGCCGCGGCCGGAGCCGGCCCCCGCGGCGGCGCCCGCCCCCGCATCCTTCACGGAGCCCATCCACTTCCCCAGCTCGCTCACCGTCACCACTACCACCACCAAACAGTCTCCAGACAAAACTGACGTTCCCGTCGCTTCTGAAGACAAAGCCCCCTACAAGACAAATTCTTTGGTCTTTGGCTCGATAATGAACTCTATCTCTCTCAGCAAAGACCTCATTGTAGATAAAAAAGACAATGAAAAGAAAGATGAACTATACATTCCCCCCAACAATATAGGCAGCATAACTATAACACCTGTACCTAGTAATCCCCCTAAACCTGAGAAAAAGCTCATGAATAACAATGTGCAAGCATCAACAGCGGATAAGTCAGGTTTAATTAGGGTTAAATCACCAGCAGCATTGAATGAAATGGTGAAAAAAGATAAAGTTAAGAAGCCAGAAAAGAGTCAAGTTAAAGAAAAAAGAGTAGATTCGCCGTTACATGTAGATACGAGTTACCAGCCGAGTAAAAAGGACCCAAGTCCGAAACATAAAGAAGAAATACCACAGAAGCAGATAGAGAGTATGCGAGTGAGTGAGAACAACATCCCGAGGCCGGCGCTAGTGCCGGTGCACCACTCGCCGACGTTCGCGAAGCCCGACAAGCGGCCGCCCGACGTGAAGCGGAAGAAAGACGTCGTCATCATCTCGGACCTGGACCCGCTGAGTGAACAGGAACCCCTCGCCGTGGACGACAGTAGCAGCGACGTGGAGCTAGTGGAGGACAATAGGACTGACAAAAGTGAAAGTAAACGTGATAAAAGTGAGACAGTGCCTTCCAAGGACCGCGTGAACTATGACGCTAACAAAAAAGTGAATAATGTGAAGTGTAAGAAAGATAAGGAAGTGCATAAGAGTAGTGAGAGTGAGGAACCTACCAATGATGATATTGATACGCTCATGAGGAATCTCAGGGAGATGGAGGTAATGTACTTGTTACTTATAACTTTTTTTACCTTATATTGTGCTAGTTTTTATCCAAAAGATAGGGATAGATTTCAAATATTTATCCATTTCTACACCTATTCTCCGATATAAGGCTAGATTCCAATATTCTTATTACTCAATTGATGATTGCATTCTTTTGACCCTACCCAAGAATTGAATCCATATTCTTTTTATCTGCAATCAAGCTAGTTACCACTTCTTTGTGTATAAAATTAATTTGTGTTACTAATTGCCTAACATTGGTGGTGGTTTCAAGGCCCGGTGGCCTCTTTCTGTAATTTATACCTTTTTTTAATGCTTACTGGATTAGTCATAAAATTAACCTTATTTTTGTCATATATATAAACTAATTAATTAATCGAATTAAAATATCAAATATGGTCATGAATAATACAGTAAATAGTTAGCAATAACATCTGTGCACATCCATAAAGCAGATATGTAAATGCCTCATATTCCTTGAAAAGTTGAAATATCTTAAAATCTATTCTACTTACTTTCAAGTTTAGCCAATTTTAAACTCCAATGTGTAGGTAAAACATTTTATTTTGTAAAAATATTATTTTCTGGAATCTGGGACAGCCGCAAGGAAGTAATTCGATTCCTTACACATTTCAGCATTCTCAAGAGCCAACAAAGTTCAACAGTAATTCTTATGGAGGTGTGATAACTAACGGTAATTATTATTTTCAAATTAATTCTAACTTAGAATAGTTCTAAAGAATATTATTGTTTGGCCAAATAGAGATGCCTACCTACATAATTTTATTAGTTCTCTTTGGGATAATTTTATATTTATACTCTTATTTTAAATTGGGTTTATTTTGTCTTTTATGACTTTATAATTGCCTAATGCTTTTAAAGGGATCTTTTTAACTTAAACTTCATAGTCACAGTGTAATTAATCTAAATTAAAAATATAGTCAACACATAAGTATCTATTATCTTGCATAAATACTCCAATATTAAGTATTATTGCCTAATTGCCTATACATATTGACACATTGTTTTGTTTTTTCGCTGTTAACCTTTCACTCATTGAGGTCACAGTCACCTTTACAATTATACACAATTACATTGCATAATGAATCATAAATTTAATCTAATAGTCTTTCAAAATTTTTGTTAGTAGACATATTACACTGTGACCGACAACTACTTCTAGATATTACTAGGAAGGGGTAATAGTCAAATCAGTCGGGTAAGAGTAATATTTATGTCAACTAGCGAAACACGAGAGGTCTTCCAGTCAGCCCGCGTTCCCGCGGGGCGCTGTCTTCGAGGCCCGAGACAGAGACAAGCTGTAAGTGCAGCATATAGACGTCACTTAGTACATAGACAATGGAGTGTTTTTACATCAGATTTATAAATGAAACAGTTTTAATATTTTTTTAAATAGATTTACTCTAAATCCGATGATGCACATTAAAAACTTATATTTAAAATTCTAGAACCAACCATTGAAACATTGGTTTAGATTTGAGAAAGTAGGTAATTAACTCGTCGAGTACCGTCAATACAGACACAATTATAGAACAATAGGTTGCGGTCACCGGTGACCGCTTGGTGTTTGACAGTTTAATGATGATATTTAAAAAAAAGATTGTGGGACGCCATTTAGAAACTTAACTACCTAATATTAGCGATGTTTAGATGGAAACAAAATTGAATTAGTAACTTAAATATGTATTTTGAGACATAAGTAAATAGGTATAACTTCAGTATGTAATCAATTCTATTACTCCATTGGCTTGTTACTCTGTGTTCGATCATTGTGCTTGTACAGCTTCTAATAAGTTTGTAACGAGTCGTAGATAAATTCAAATTCAAAATAGTTACTATGTAGTTCTTAAAATGTTTATAGATTGCTGTAAAATTATTCTGTTTTAGAAATGGTGTAATACCTAGTTACAAAATAATTTTAATTTCGACAAACATCTTACTAATTTATACTCTTATGTAAAAATGTAAAAAATAAACCATTTGTAGTCACAATAAAACCTCGTTACAATCTTTCAGCTTCGTCTTCATGCCCTCTGCTTTATGTAAAATAGAAAATAATAACTATGCTATCATTCTTATTAATTTAATGTATTTACCTTGTCGGATTTATCTTCTAACTCTGTGGAGTATCGTGAATCATTAATACTGTTGTACTCTTATCTATATCATGCAAATTAGTAGAAAAGAAAAACTATGAATTAAGTGAATTTGCTTACCCACTTGATACCCATAATTATGGGCCCACGCAATGGCTTGAAAGTAGTCGAGAAAATACTTTGACATAAATTGAAAATAATAATTATAAACAGGATTCGCGCGGCTTCACAGTACAGTTTGGAAGATATTGTTAATAATTATTAATAATTCATATACCCCATGTAAATAACTTACACAAGCTTTCGTATACTAACATTTATGTATGTATTGGTTGTTGTATTAATGTTATTAAGTGTTCAATGTAATAATAAGGATTTCGGGGACTTGTTTTAAAAAATTATCTATCTACTCTTCACCTTTTTGACTAAATGACTAATTCTATGTCAATTTTTCGTCTTCCTAACATGTTTTAACTTTTATGGGTCTTGCTGTCTGTCTGTCGTTAACTCAGTGGTCACAGTTTGTTGAGAAATGTAAGACTTAACAGAAATTCTATTCAATTTTTGGGTTGGATATTCCGCCTCGTATCCGAAAATCCACTTTCGCCTTAATTCTGTCAGAGTACTTTACAGAATAGTTAACATCTAAATCTCTGCGGAAATCTATGCTTCGCTAACAACTGGGACAATATTTATATGCCCGCAGATAAATGCCCAAACAGCATAGACGCGACACAAAACACACACACGACACTGCTTTAGCGGAATAAAAACTAAATATTTTCCAGTTAGTGGAGACTACTTTACCATAAAAATAAAACGGACAAAGATCATATTTATGCCTCTTTTCGATGTTTGATATTATAAAATCCTTTGAAATTATTCTGTATATTTAAATATAATATTATATTTATAGAGATTGTTTATAGCATATCATAGTTTGAATAATAAGACAATATTATGTATATGGTTCTTATAAATATTATGTATATACCTAATGATTTCTGTATTTATAACATTTCTTAATGTAATTAGTAATTCATTATTTACTAGTAATAGGTATTTAGCTAATCGGCTGTGTAATAATTGTAACTTTTATTTTGTAATGACGTCATTATTAGATATTTTTATAATAACTATCGTGAGACATACTAAATTAACTGAAAATCGTGGGTTAGTCACGTGAATATATTGAGAAAAGCTCTACTAGTTTCGAGCCACAGAGGGGCTCTTCCTCATTAGCAATGTGCGCGGTCGCGGCGATGTCGTGCAGCTTACTGGCTCATGAGGAAGAGCCCTCTGTGGCTCGAAACTAGTAGAGATTTTCTCAGTATATTCACGTAACTAACTCGCGATTTTTAGTTAATTATTGGATATTATTAAATTTATTGTAAATTGTATTCTTTTTAAGCTTAAAACAACCATTATAAAATTAGTTGCAATATGCTTATACTTTCACACAGTAAATCACACATTGTATGTTAATATATTTTTTATGTTATGGTAAGCAATGTCTATAGAAGATTCCTTTGTTTCAGTACAGAACGCACTTCTTTGAACAAAATGGATGGATGTAATGGCATCACAGGTGAGGGTCTCATTTCACGTTCATTATTAAGCTTAGCTTTTTATAGAAGAAATGATTAGACGGATTACTTGATGATAAGCAATTAGGGTCACCAGTCGCAACACCAGAGGTTCATAAGTATTCATTGAAATGCTACTTAATTTTAAGTTGAAGAAGAAGTAAGAAAGAAAAATCGTTTATAAAATAAAATAAATAATATAGTGAAGACGGCGCAAAAAAGCCAGAGCTCAGCCTAAATGCCGTGATCCGAGTGCGCTCGAGTCGCGGCGCTGATTTTCAGCACTTGCCCGTGACTATTGTAATGTAATACATATAATAATAATAATAGAATAACAATAAAACTTTGTTTGTTTGTAAACTGAATATATTTAGTTGTTAATGCATCGTGTAAATTGACTAAAAATCGCGGGTCACTCACGTGAAATACTAAATATGATATGATATATATCATATGATATGATATGATATGATATATATCATATGATATGATATATATCATATGATATGATATATATCATATTTAGTATAGTATCACGATAGTTATTATAAAAACAACTCCATTATATATGAATTAAAAATATTTTTATCTAATTTCAGGCTGAAAAGCGGAGCTGTAGAAATCACAAGGATGTTGTAACAGTTACATGAAGAATAGTATGTATATCAACCGAACTAGCCGCTACTGGATTACTGAAACTGTAATATTGACGCGTCTCTACAAGTTGATAGCTCGTGTTGTACCCAACTTATATTCAAACTAGCCTAGGTATGTCATATAAATGATACTTCTTAAACCCCAAATAGACGACTAAATAGCATTTACTTACTTTAAAAACTATTTAATTTCGATTCACGAATTTAGGCTTTTTAAAAAAAATTAAGAATAAAGTGAAATTGGTTAACTATACTAGTCTATTCTGTAACGGTACTTCTAATAAAAAACCGTACAATTTTGAGTGAATTTGTCATATCACATATTGTTGTGATCGTCTTTTTAAAATGTTCTCTTTATTTTATTGCCATTAACTGACCCTATATTTTTAATTCTATTTGACCTCTCATAAAAAAAAATATAACCTTAAACTATTTTTTGTATTTTAAAATGTTATCCAAATAAAATGTCGATTGATGTAATCAGTTTATTCCAATTCTAATTGATTTAACTTATTTCGATCTCTCTTATCTTTTTTAGATTCAGACAAAACTGTTTTTCTCTCCAGTGCAATAATTTTAGTATTTTATGAAACTCGTGAACGAAAATTAATACCAAATATCATTTATAGGACAGAAGTCAGATGACTAACCTATGCAGTTTTCTAAAAATAGACGTTATTAGCACTGTAATGTGACGTCATAACAGTCAAATTGAGCTCATCGAGTAAGTTCAACAAAAGATTGCTAGGATAATAAAATTCCTTCTAGCTGCCGTTATATAGCTGCTATAAACCAGGGTGCTTACTCTTGTGACCAATTTAAATATCAAAGCAATTTCAATCGCATAAAATCTCAATAATTATTCAATGTTAACACTATACAACCGCTATCGTAGATGCTGTTATAATAGCATTCAGAGTACGGAATATAAAGCCAAACTGAATACCATTTAGTTCATTCAGTATCCACGCAATACGGGTACAATTGGCGCTAGTGTTGCAACTCCGAGTACGAAATTTTACAATACCAATGTCGATTGGAATTGGATTCAAGAATAAGCCCTCTTATTTTCAATGATTAGAGACTACTTTTGTATGAACAAATGTTGCGGATTTTTCGTACGATACATCGAATGACTAGAACACAAAAAACAAATTAGCACTGGTAAAGTCTTCCTGTGTGTTTAATCAGATTTTCTTAAAAATATTAACTATATTTTTTAGTAATAGAAGTAGTGCCAAGAAACCCTCCAATAATGTCTGTCTGTTACCACGATATCCTTTCAAGCGAATGTGTGACCATAGCCTTTCAAATGATACTGTAATGTTACATAGACATAGTCTTACACCTCAGTGTATAGTTTTATTGGCATAACAATCCTATTTATTAACTCGTACAAATTATATGTTGGCCGAGTTGTCGCAAGTGCAACTGCCGGGCAAGGGGTCTCGGGTTCGATTCCCGGGACGAGCAAAGTATTACTGGGTTTTAAAAAAAAATCTCAGTAATAGCACGGAGTCTGGAATTGTGCCCTGTATATGGCAATAGGCTCACCCCCTATTACATGGGACTCATAACATAAATAGTGAAAAGTGGGTGTTACATTGTACAGTGGCATAATATGCACCTCTGCCTACCCCTTCGGGAATAAAAGGCGTGTTGTTATGTATGTAAAAATTATATGTTCTGTCAATTCTTCCAATTTCGTTTGAATGAACCTTCTTTTAATCGTGACACTGCATCAGGATCATTAAAGAATCTGTTATTATAAGTTAATATAAATAAACACTAGCATGCAATAACAAAATTGCAAAATAATGCTAAGAAAAACGGAATTTTCTTTTAAAATGTCTTTTTAACTCGTCGAGTACCGTCAATACAGACACAATTATAGAACAATAGGTTGCGGTCACCGGTGACCGCTTGGTGTTTGACAGTTTGAAGAAGTAATTATAAATATTATGTTCGGATTCCTTTCAATTTCACCACTAACTAATAATATTCATACTTTCTGTCGTAGTAATAAATAGGATTTTATGTCTCTTTGACTCCTGTCACTGAATACTGAGTGTTCTACCTACTCCCTAGGAGTTTTAGCTGTGATGTTAATATCATACAAGAATAGTTCCTTAATAGATACACTGTTACTACATTGCACACAATATTTTTCTAATTACCACGAAATACGATCTATCAACTTTGATAAATACGCGTTAAATGTCTAAGCACGTTATTATATCGATATATTGATAGTATCGATACTCAATAATGTCGATAGTTACCGAAATATCGATATAATTGACCCTAGCAATACAATTTTGAGAGATATGTCGATTTTTGACATTTGTAAGCTGTTGTCGGGTCCAGAGAACGCCTGATTTTATTTCTTTTTCCATAAAAATATAATTAAAGCCAAATGCGATTATCTGTAATTTTTCTATTTTACTACATATGAAGGTTAAAATAGTATTTTTCTTTATTGATTTTTGTTTCTTAATAATGTCATTGTCTTGATATCTTCTTCAAAAGAAGGTATTATTACTTTTTAATTGTACACTGTCTATGGCCACCTCTGGGCCCACGTGCTGGACAATATTACAAGAAATGTTTAATTTTATTAATACACTAAGTTTGTATAGAAACACACGTATTTTGTATAATAAAGCTATTAGTTTTACGATAAAGGTTTAAAAACAACAGCAAATAGTACTGCTCCACGAATTCAAACGTCGTTTGCCTGTTGTAAAAATGTAGAAGGATAGATATTATTTTTTGTGTAAACAACACTGCGAACGGCCTTTGATGCAATCGATTTCAAAATGCAATAAATACGCGAACATAACAAGATAAATTAAAAAAGTTCCGAGCTGGCAGTTCAGTGATATACCATGGCCTATAAATCGACTGCCCGCCAAAAAACATAACCTCAAATCGAAATCAGGATTAAATTCTATGAATTTGTTATTTTCGCGGTTAAATCTAAATATAAAATGTATATGTATACCTAATTATTGATCTAAATCAAATGTGTATTGTGGAGCAGTAAGATATTTTTACACGAACTCTGAATTATTATGAAAATAGTTTTATTTTCGTTAAAATAAAACGATAGATGACTTTTTGTGATTTGAGTGAGTTGAAATCCTAAATTCCAAATTATGCCCAATGTAACAATTATGATTAAATATTTATAATGAACATGATTTGTTTGGTGTTTTATTTTAGTTTTAAAAGTATAAGAAAGTATTATTTTTTATCTGTACCTATATAAAAAAGTAATTTGTTTTCACGACTTGTGCACTGTCCACTCACTATGCAAGTATGAAGCGAAGTTATCGACAAAACCAAAGAAGTAATAAAAAAATTACAATTAAACTAAAACAAAAAGTCACAAACAAGATTGCCTCGTTGGCCGAGTAGTCGCAAGTGCGACTGCCGGGCAAGGGGTCTCGGGTTCGATTCCCGTGTCGGGTAAAGTATTACTGGGTATTTTTAACGAAAATCTCAGTATTAGCACCGAGTCTGAAATTGTGCCCGGTATATGGCAATAGGCTTGGGTATTCCTTGGGATTCATAACAATAATAGTAAAAAGTGGGTGTTACATTGTACAGCGGGATTAGTATCGTAATGTACACCTCTGCTCACCCCTCCGGGATAAAAGGTGTGGTGTTATGTATGTATGTAGTAGTAAAACAAAAAGTATGTTCTTATAAAATATATTGAAGTACCTTTCAATCGTTCCTTTAATTAATCGATTGCAATAAAATCTGGAAACTGATTAGTGAAACTGTAAATCGGTATTGAAGTAGGACCCACTGTTTTTATTATCTTAATTATATCGAATAATTTCAGTTCACATTATCTACAAACATGTGCATGGACGGGTCCTGACCAAATATTAAATATTTTGTGTAGGTAAATAGGGCTGGAGTTCGTTAGTTGATTTTGTAAAATTGTACAAGTCACATAGGTACCTACATATTCCTAAAATTGAATCTTAATGACGCATGGTAAAACAAACAAAACACATGTGTATGAATATTTTTTTATTAATTTCACAAAAGTATTCATTAAAAGCCACAGTTTGAAGGCTTTTAAGCTGTCAAGCGATGACTGTATATAACATCTTCCCGATCGTATTCAACAGTGAGCTAGAAAACAGGAATTCACAAGCTATCTAATAAACTACATAAACGTTTACTTTATAGAAAATATTGACATACTCCACCAGATAAAAGGCCGTTGAAGCTTGCATTGTCACAATGTATTGCGCGAAGAGAGCCCTCATAAAACAACGAGTAGAGAGTACCTACCTCTAAACGTTCCTCTATGACAACCCCGCCCTTATATATTTATATATTCTTGTATAAATAATGACTTTCACTTAGTATTAGAGTGTGAATAACACTATGCTAACGTTACGTATTACAGAACAGCTCAGTGTATCATTATATTTATATATAAGTGTGAAGCGACACTGATTCTCTAATATTTGAAATATACTTTGAAGCTATTTTGTGATATTCTAACTCGAATGCCTTATTCTAGTGAAATAGAACGACCTCTAAATAGTTGTTTGTTGATAAAGGTCTTTTGAATGTCGTCTGAGTCATCGTACAATAAAATTGTGTAGTGACGTCATACCTTTTCAGAGGTCGCTCTCTCTCTCATACACTATCAAGTTAACTATATTTGTCGAAGTGTTACAGACACAAAAACACTTTTAATTAAGTAATAATACGTTTCAAGTAACTTTGGAACTCATTTCACTTCCCATAGTTGACTGGTTTCCTAGTTTTGAAGTCTTTAAAGGTCAACGGGTTAACTTCAACTATGGCAAAGTCAAATTTAATTCGAAAATCTTTTTTTCATGGGTCCCAATTCCCTCTTTTCGTTACAGCTCTCCTTATGAAAATGTTCTAATCTACGTAAGCCGCACATGGCAACTCGTCAGCCATTTTGTTTTATATTTTATGCATGTAAAATGGCCGATTTTACGATTTGTTTTATTCTAATTTAAATACGAGCGGATTTGAATATTACGTATAAATATATAATATTGAAAGCTCAATGTGTTTCGAACACCCTTGTAACAATGAGGTTAGCGATTTGAATGGATCTCTAAATTATATGTTGATGGTGGATCTTACCATCACTCAATATTTAAAGTCTAGTTTCTGAGTGTTGACATTAAGTCGTCACATATTTTATAGACTTGGACTTTAAATTTGAGCCCTCACAATGCAGAACTAAAGGGATAATTTACGCCCAAAAAGCTTAGATTTATATAAATGTTATAAATACTTATGAGGTGATCATACAAAAAATATTTATCTTTAGCAATCGAAATCCTCAATATCTTAAAGCTTAAGCAAAAATAAACTCTTTATTTATAATCATAGGGTCCTATATTCGTTACAATTATACTACGAACCAAAGTTTTTTGGAAACCATTGATGCCTTATTCTCTAGGTACATACCGTGCTCAACACCAATACTTCCCACACACACTGCAATATTACATCTATTATAGTCAGCATACGATTGACTATCCATAGCGTGCTCCTACCAGGCCAGCTCTCACCGGGAACTGCCCTCTATCAATCCATTATCTACCTTATATTTACTCCCATTAAGTTTACAATTATTTACAAAGAACTTCCGACATCCCAAAGTATGAGTCTTACAATTAATTTTACACAAAATCTATGTTAACATCAATAGTGTTGTGACGAGATATTGTGTCACACTGGTAATATATATAAATAGCATTAAATTTACAAAAGCTTAACGTACCTACTTCTATGGACTAGTAATTTATAGGGTAACCTTCAAGAGACCAAGAATTTGGTAAATCCTAACAATAAAATGTCAAACTCAAATGTCAAATCCGCGTTTTTTATGTCGAGTAATTTAACACTTGAATTTGGCAACACACCAATTTATTTTTATTACAAACATCAGCCCTAAATATTGTTTGATATCTGGACATCAGCGATTATATTCTAGAATGTTATTCCTAACTTCATTTAATATTTAAAAGAACGCAATATTTATTCTATGTAGTTTGTAAGACAAACTTATAGAAAAATCGCCGTTACATTTTAAATATTAAATATCAATTTTAAGTTTAAAATTTAACATCTAACACCAAAGTAGAGGTTTTATACAACTCGAGGTAACACATAGTTCAACAGAGTATAAGCAGGGAAGGTAACAATGGGAGTATTTAATTTAATTAATGTTTTAGTAATACAGTCTGATTAAGTATAAACCTTAGTACCAAACTTAGGGCGTTTAAAAGTAGATATGGAAGAAGCTAGCTTGCCTAACGTTGCGATATAACCTGTCACTATAAAACACCAACTTACGCTTACTCTAACATTAATTAAATTAGTTTAAAAACTTCATTCAAACATTTAGTAACTTCACAGTGGTATTTTTAGTTTTTTTTTTCTGACATTTTCACATCTAGTTCACAAAGTTCGTTAGAAATGTGAAGTTACAGAACTCTAACATTTTTATGTACAAGTTTAAGTACTTAGATTGAAAATCAACAAAATAACAGAAATAGTTAATATTAAAACACGTTCCTGTTTATTTCTTAAATTAATCCATAAAATTACCCATGTCTATTGTTATATTGCACGTAATTATTTATGTAGATAAGTATTTAATATATTTCCACTAAATATGGGAGCCTATTAGCGTAAAAAAACTAATAGATATGTTAATTGATGCAGTCGAGTTTGTTTGAAATGTATAATATAAGTCCTGCTTGTCAAATTATCGACTAATCGTCCTTGTATTTGACAGACTTGGATCTTTGTTCGTCAATTTAATGTTAAGCAAAACTATGATGGCTAGTTTTTATTTAGTCAATTTTCTCAGTCGGCTTATAATAGTTTTGTATCGTTTTAACAAGTAAACGTATTTGGATGGTGAAGAAAATTCAAGTATGGCGGCAATATGGCGATTCGCGCTCTTTTGTACGTCAACGTGCGATGTGTCAATCACATTATGTAATCTCTTTCCTTATTCTATCACGCATTTTATTTGACCAAGCTTAGGTTCCTCCATAATTATGAGATCATAGTTATTATCCTAGTTGAGTAAAGGCGCGTAATGTTATTGTTACTCTGTTAAAACGATACAGTAGCAGTGAGTAGTATGACGTGACGTAATGGCGGCAAGCGGTGACACTATTGTGTGTCGGCGGCAGCACTGTCGCTCGGGTCGCAGGCCGCCGGGCCGCACTCCTCCGGCGGTAATGGCTCATCTGGGGAACAAGATATAGGTAAATCGTTAATTTTGAGTTCAACAATACTTAGACTTCAACAGGGAAAAAATTGTAGATTAACTTCTGAAAGATTACTTTTATCAGTGCTGAATTTGGTACATCTGAAGCATTGGCGGATTAACCAAACGCGAGGGCCATAGAAACCTGTTGAGAGGTCTTCGGTCTTATGCAGAATATTCTTGGATACTTCCAAAGGTATTCTTTAAGGTTGATTCCAACACTTAAATTATTATTATTATAACTTACCATCGGAGTGCGGCGAGTTGAGTGTAGTTCAGGAACCCCTGCGCCCAGTGAGCGACCCAACGAGGGACTTGAGGGCGGCGCCGATGGAGCCCCGGGACGAGTCCGACCCTGCGGACCCGGCGCCCAGGGGACCCGCGCCTAGGGACCCGGAGCCGCCATGCGCGTCCAAACATTTCTGGTAACGCAGCTGGAAGAAACAAAATGTGACAGGTAAGTGTAGGTTAACCTATCGTGTAGGTAGGTAGGTAGGTACTAGGTAGGTATTTGCTTAGGTGTATTATTGTAGGTACAGATTGCTGGTTTATGTACCTATGTCAAATTAAAGATCAGATTTTACTTTCATATGCTTACTATGGTAGATACTACAGAGGGTGAAGCCCTGGAGATAATCATCATCATCCACGTAGGAGCTAGTGATGCGTGAGTTAAGTTTTGGACAAAGAGCCTCTACAAAGTACAGGTTTGTCACAGTCTTCACGCTTGGCCAGCGGCTTGACAAACTTCAGACAATACTGGATGTCATAAAACTATTGATAATAATTTTGCAACAAGTTTATACTAAAAATGTCTTACTGTCTGCTTGGTGGGTAAGTTCCTCACCTTGCAAGCAGCCTCAATGGTCTTGCAGAGTGCCCCGGAGGAGGGCTCGGCGTGGAAGGCGTGCGCCACGAACAGGTCCTGCGCTGTGTGCACTATGAACGCACAACGACGCACGTCGCGACCGATGCCCAGGAACGATAAGTAGCGGACTCGACACTCCACTATTGGGGTTGTATCCTGAAAAGCATGGTGGATAACATTACTTATAGTAACTGAACGTGTTTGAAAATGAATATCACCAAGAATGTGGCAGAGCCATGCTTCGGCATTCGTGCCGAAGCATGGCCGGCTCGACCGGAGTGATACCACGGTTTAACAGAAAACCGACGTGAAGCAACGCTTGCGTTGTGTTTCGTCGTGTGAGTGAGGTTACCGGAGGCCCAATCACCTTCCCCTACCCCAATCTTCCCAATCCTTGAATACAAACGATCCTCAAACTCCTAATCCCCAAAAGACCGGTGACGCACTTGTAACGCTTCTGGTGTTCCAGGTGTCCATGGGCGACGCCGATTGCTTACCATCAGGTGGTCCGTTAGCTCGTTTACCGGCTTATGCCATAAAAAAAAAGATATCACCTGGAATACTTGGTAGCCGTTACATATAAACATTTACTTTTAGCCGAACGTGGTAAAACGCTACTCCAAAATTGATAACTATCGGTAGAAGGCCAAAAAACAGAACAAACAAGAGCACTAACCCCTTCATCAGTAATAGTGATCATAGAGGGCGCTACAGCGACAGCTACAGGGCGCCAGGCGGAGGGCGGGCGCGCGGCGGCGAGGCGCTCGAGTGCGTCGTTGAGTACGCGCATACCGGTCGCACGCGCTACCTCCGCGCTGCCCAGGTACAGCGCGCGCACTGTCTTACGGGGCTCCTCCATCGGCGTTGGGAATGCTGCACCCACTAGAACATTCATAAATAGCTTATAGTAATCGCAGAAAGTTAGAAAAAATTGCTTTGTTCAATGGAAAGTAGAGCACTTCATTTTACTTGTTTGACTATTCCGAGAAGAAAATCTGAAATCTCTCTAGTCTACATAGACTTGAAGAAATACCCACACACAAAGTGGCCTTATTTATAAGAATGAATGATTTAATGAAACTGGGAGCCAGACCTTTGATGAAGGTCGCTTCTAACCGGGCTATATAGAAGTCATAGAGTTAAGTATCAAGTCTCAAGTCTTGCGACTGGTATGATGATGAATCATAAACAACTCACCAGACAGTGGTCTAGGCCGCCTAGTAGCCGGTAGATCAGTGGGACGTGGCGGGGGTTGCAGGGAGCGCTCGATCATGATGCGTTTGCAGATGTCGCGCAAAGCGTTGGCGATGCTACGCGCAGGCGCCTCGCAGCGAAACACGTGACACATGTGTTTGCGTGTCGCTCGATCACGGGCCACGTATGCAAAGTCCCTGGGTAGAAAAAAATAATTCTATAGTCCCTAAATTCTCTTGTGCTGAGCAGTGAAGGCGTGCAGGTGATTTAATGGTCTTAAATGTCTAAGTTAATGCATCAGTTGTTGTGGATGCGGACTCTTGTTAAAGTCTGGATTGTCCAGAAATTCTGATAATTCATGAGAAAAAGTAATCTAGGTAAAACAGTGGTCTTAGTTAGTTAACATAACCAATTGTCTACAATTAGTTAACATAACCAATTGTCTACAATTGGTTATGTTAACTAATTCTTTTAGAGACTTGTGAAATGGAATCGTCAGAAAGATTTGATCATGTTGCGTGTACCAAAGCCAAATAAATAGCACGTGACAAAGCTGAAGTATTTACAATAAATTAAGTTAAAACTTATAAAAACTAGGCCTCCATTTAGGCATTAAATTTAAACACTAAGTTCTTCAAAAACAACTAGGAACGGCAAACACGCTTATGAAAGAACTAGAATATCAACAAATCGTTTAAACAAAACCACAATCACGCCTAAAATTACATCTAGGTAAAGTAAAAAATCTAGAAAAAACCTAAGAACTCTGGTATTTACCTTTCACTGTTCCGAGAATGCAGAGACAGAAAATAGATTATTTTTAATATTCTTTTTTCGAGTTTCTGTAGTAAGATGTAAGGGTGTGTACTCACCGGCCGTTGTCTCTGCCGACTCCCCAAACACGGATGGTGTGTATGGGCTGTGTGTGCAGTGTGTTCAGGCTTTCAGGGTCGATCAGCTTTAGAGCTCCGTCGTCTAAGTCCATGAAGAGATCCTTGCCCTGTAAGTTAAAATAGAAATGAGAATGTGAAAAATTTACACGCCATGGAGGTTGTTCTAAATGTCCCTTATGTGGACAGCCTGTCAAAGTATCAATAAATCTTTATTTTCTACACAGAATTCCTATAATATTGTGGATTACTTAAACTGGTTTGCACAACACACTAGAACAAGGACTAGGACTAGACTGGTGACTGCGTGTGTAAGACGGGCGACCGCCTCCAACACACCACTTCACCAAATGACGACAATCGAAACAGCTGTACCGAATTCACTAAAACCACGTCTATAATATATTTTCTTATACAGTCCAGTCGGTTATTAATTTAATAAATTACCCGGCCTAAACAAAGTTCGTGCCGCAAGAAGTATGTCAAAATACGCCAAGTTTTTCACCCTACGGTTCATTAAAGGCTTCATCGACCTTGCAAATATTATCAACAAAATCCAAATCAATCTGACAGTTACTCACATCACCCCAACGTCCGACTTGGTCCAGCAGATCGTTGCGGCCTAAACTGAGGTCCACGATGCACTTATTGACCGCACGACTGGACCTTTCTGGGGTGAGATCGGACTCTGCAATCTCAACCCAACCCAGGGAGCGGACGAAAAACCTGACGGCACGGCCGTTGTCTGGCTCTGGACGGGCTGGGAAACTGCGACGTCTGGGGAGAATAAAAAATAGATACTTATTAGCAAAAAGAGACGATAGTTTTGTCATACAAACGGTAGAAGGTTGTGCGGACAGTTTTAATGACAATTAACAACAGTCGCCTGAATATTTATAATCGCACGATTTATCTAAAGATTATAAACCATGTATTATCTAGCTGAACACGCTGATTGTTCCATTATTAACAGATCAAAAAATTCTCAAAATAAAATACAACAAAACTCACTTGTAAGACATCTCCTCTTTCCGTTTCCTCTCGGCTTCCTGTCCATCATGGTCCAGAGCTCCACTGGTGGTACTCCTGGTGACGGAACTAGTCATCATACTGCCCTCATACTTGCTGACTTCAGACAGATTGGAACAGTCCCTGACCATGGAAATGCGGGACTCCTTGGCTTCTATGGGCGGCATCTTGGGGATCTCTCTTTGAATTGTCCCACTTTTTATGTGCCAATAATAAGGTCCGTCGTTATCTGATGAAAAAAGATAATGAATAAGGTTTTGGGAAGCTTGGAATATGTTTTAGCTATTAGATTCTAATGCTTGACATTCTTGGAATATGGATCGCAATTCTATTAAAACATGCAAAAAGTAATCAAATTGATAGATGCCCTTAGGAATGACTTAATATTATTCAGATTAGATTATTATACTATAGCTCATTTGCGCGCTATGTTCAAAATCTAAATGTGTTATCTATTTCTTAAATTAAAGCATGTCGATGTTCGAAGCATAATAGATACTCCACATTACACAACTTCTACATCTGGGCCCGATTTTGTATCACAAATATGAATTGCTTTCTTTTACTATCCCAAAACCTGCTGAGACAACAAAATCTAGGATTTTATCGTCCATTACCAAACGGGATGCCATAAAACTAACTAACCTACCTACAGACCTAATTTCGACACTAAAACTATGTCTAGAATCTGCAGATGAGCAATGAACATACATCTCCTACGAGTACCTTCGTGTTTCTCCCATCCTGGCGGCAGTTGGGGTTCCTTTTTGGGTCTCAATTTGACCGGTATTGCGTATAGGTCATCGTTTGGCCCCTCAGCAGAGTGCGGCACTGGGGTCGAGTGACTCTTCTCTGAATCCTCGCGGTCTGCTCGCTCCTTCTCAGGTGGGGGGGACTCCTCGCCGCCATTTTGAGGCGGCGTGATTAGTCCGCTTTTGTCACTGTTGAAGATAGGAGAAAATTTAATGTTATATTGTGTAAGTAGGAGATTAACTAAGACTTAAGGTTTATGGTAAAATTATTGTTATATATCCAGTTGGTACGTGACATCTTTGTAGGTTGTAGTGCTCAAGTCATACACTTCAATGACCATGTCATACCGTAAAACAACCGTAAAAATACGAATAGCTACAACTTAAAACAGAATTATGACAACACATAATAAATAACCGAATTCCACACACAATAGTCACGAAACAACACAACGGTAGCCTCATTATGTACTTAGACAAACTAAGGCACATTTATGCTAATTCATACAATACATGATACGCTACATTTGCATAGAAACCACACAAAGTGTACAACTGTACAAATTATTGTATTAGATACTTCTCGAAACCACGCAACAATTTATGATAATACTCAAGATCAGTATGCTTCGACGCGTTAAGGCGGTGCTAGATGATTTGAATTATTTAACGTTATAAAGAACATTATGTTTATGATTCTTCGAAGTATTAAATGGAAGATGGTTGTAAGACTTTTGTTACACTTCATTTTATGTAAGAAAATAAAATTTACTTATTTGCGTTACCTACATCATCATCATCATCATCAATAGCCTGTAACCGTCCACTGCTGGGCAAAACCTCTTCTCACACAGAGAAGGTTTGAGCATTAATTACCACGCTGCTCAATGCAGCGATTGGCGATTTCAAACTTATAATTAGAAATTTATAAGTCCAGGTTTTCTCATGTTTTTCCTTCACCGTTTGTCAGTGGTGTCTAAATAATCTTAGAAAGCGAATCTAAATTTCTTTTTAAAAACCCAGTAGTACTTTGTCCGACCCGGTAATCGAATCCGAGACCCCTTGCCGCTTGTTCAAGCAAGCAAGCGAAGATTACAATGTTCTCAGTGTGACCTCAGCTTAAATCCATCCATATTACATATTTACTGTACTGTAGACGCTGTAGTACACTTTAGACTTCACTTTAATGTGGTTAGCCGTACATTGTTTATGAGTTAATAAAAAAATAAACAAAGCGTTGTACGTGACTAGCGTAGTGCGTCGGTGATTTTAAACTTTATATAAATCACTCTTATAGGGTGTGGTTTTAGTGACAAGAATAGCGTAGCGGTGTTTACGTTGTATCGGTTAAGGGCTTTTTTTTAAGGGGGGAAAATCATCGAATGTCTTCTCTCGACTGGGTGAGGCGGGAGGGAGTGTCAGACTCTTACTGACTAAAAATCACCCTGTTCCTTCACCTGCACTTCGAGCCGGAGCCCTGGTAACCTGTTAGGTTCTCCGCGACGTCTGTTAAGTGCTTAGCACTTTGTTAGCCAATGGTTCGATTACGTCTTGTCATTTATCGGAGTGTTTGCTCAGTAGCGAGATAGCAAGGAGTCTTGAAAATGCCGAAATGTTCATATCACACAGAATCCTAATACCTAATGAAGATTTGGTAGATTTCATATCCTGATTCTAGTATCTACCTCAATTTTACCCTTTTTAGAAAATTAAGAAGTGGTAGCACGGAGTCTGGAAATGTGCCCGGTATATGGCAATAGGCTCACCCCCTATTACATGGGACTCGTAACATAAACAGTGAAAAGTGGGTGTTACATTGTACAGTGGCATTAAGTGCCGTAATGTGCACCTCTGCCTACCCCTTCGGGGATAAAAAGGCGTGATGTTATGTTATGTGTTATGTGTTACAAGGTTATCATTGTTCTTTTACCTTTCCCTGTACTCTGTGTCACCCAAAGATCAATAGTAAGAATGCCTATAGGATTGTACAATTTTAAGTAACAGTATAACACAGCTAAATGTATGCTTACTGAAATCGCGCTCGCTACCGCTTATCACTATACACTCAACGTCCTCGCAAGGTCGCGCACGAACAATTAAGTACATGTCTACCTGACCATATTACTGACCATAATGCAGGTTCTAGCAGTGGCGTGCAGTCCATATAGGCAAAAAGGCTTTGCTTGACATAAAATGTACAAACGCGTTTATTAAGATTCAATAATAAAATAAAAGTTTGTAAAAAAACGGCTAACATAAATATACATTCACATATACTATACACGGACCGCACGCCTTTGTAAAGCAATGAATGCGCCCCGCACGCAC